GTCCGAGATTTGTCCCTAATTTATGTTCATTTATCTTAGGTAATGTGATTTTCGTCGATGATTAATTACTAGATATGCCATGGTGCCCATTTTTTTGAAGCAGGTAATAGGTTCATCTTCGCTGTTTCGATATTAAGATCCATTATGTTGTCGCTGTATGGTTTTTGCCTGCAGGTAGGTAAAAGTCAGTGATTTTTGCCCTGGTGGTGCTTTTTGGTGTGTTCGGAGTGTCCATGCCTGTTGTTTTGTTGTCATTTTTCGTAAATCAATTTTAAGGGTTCGAATATAACATCCGATGCGGTATTTGTTTGTTCGTTTATTATTTTGCCGTCGAAGGTTTTTAGTTTGTATATTTCCATATTTTCTAGGACGTTTAGTCGTTGGCCTTTATGTTGTACATGCAGTAGTTTCGCTGCCTTTCTTATTTGCGTTGGTGAACATTTGTTGTTAAACATGTGGTTAGCAAAATTTGACTCTGGTATTGCGCTCGGTTTCTGTGTCTTTTTGTTATAGTCTCTTATATGCTCGCGGAATCTTGTTTTTATTTTACGTCCTGTTTGACCTATGTAACTATGCTGGCATTTGCAAGTTAGTTTATAGACTCCTTGTTTATCCAATGGATCTTCTTGATTTGTGGTGTCCCGTAGTATCCGTCCCACGTTGTTATTTGTTCTGAATGATGTGCGAAGGTTGTGTTTCTGGAACACCTTTGCAAGTTTGTACGTTGACTTTCCAGTATAGGTTAATACCGCCCAATTTTTGTCATTGTTTTCTTCCTTGTTTGGCTTTTTGTTTTTGTGCTCCCTTCGGATTTCTTCTACCAGATCTCTTTTGTATCCGTTATTAGCCGCTATGGCATATATTGCGTTCAGTTCTTTGTTGTATCCTTCTTTTGTTAGTGGTATTCGCTCAATTCTATTGATCATCTGTCTAAAGGCGGCTTTTTTGTGCTGATGAGGATGGTTCGATGTATTATGTATTATTATATCTGTGGCTGTGGGCTTCCTAAAAATTTCATATTGCAGACTGTTGGTGCTTTTATTTATTTTTATCGTCAGATCTAAGTAATTTAGCTTTCCTTGCATTTCTTGTTCCATTGTGAATTTTATATTGCTGTGCTGTTTGTTGAGGTATTCCAATATCTGTCCTTCATTTTTCTTTGTTATAAGACATATGATGTCATCTACGTATCTGGCGTAGAACGTCGCTCCTAGTTGTGATGTAAGATACTCCACGTACCTTTCTTCCAAATTCTGCATGAATACCTCCATAAGGATCGCCGATGTGGGGTTGCCCATGCCTAGCCCGTTTGTTTGCATGTATATGTTGTTGTTAAATTTGAAGTAATTTTGATGCAACGGCGTTCTGAGTGTATTAGTTATCTCTACGGCGATTTCTCTGTTTCCTGTTTTTTCAATCAGTATTTTGAATACGATATCTATTGTTTCCGTTATTGGTATCGATGGGTATAGATCTTTTATGTCGAATGATACCAGTTTAGTATCCATCGTGATCGCTGAGTCTTTTATTTTTTCAATCAATTCCGTTGTATTGGATATTGTGTACTTATTGGGCAATCCAAGGTTGTCCTTTAGTATAGTTTTTAAGTGTTTTGATAGTTTATAGCTTGGGGCCGATCTGTGGTTTATGATTGGTCTCATGGGTGTGCCTAGTTTGTGGATTTTAGGTAGTGCATTCATCGGAGGAGCTGATGAATTCATGATTGTCAAAGTATGTATTTGGTTCGGCTTTATTATTTTTGTAGCTTTCTTTGTGGTCTCTTTTATTGTGGCCTGGTATCCCTCAGTGGGATCCTTTGCTAACTTCTTACATCTAGTTTCTTTGATAAGCTGTTCCGTTTTTTGTATGTATTCATCTCTATTCATTAGTACAGTTGTGTTTCCTTTGTCAGCTTTGGTCGTGATTACGTTGTTGTTTTTTAGTGTCTGCTTCAGACCTTTAATTATATTGCTTTCTTTGCTGTGTTTTTTGTTTCCTTTATATATAAAAGATCTGACTTTTGCATTATGTTTACAGATGCTTCTGTTGGTGATTTTGCCACAGGATGCGGTATTTACAATTACTCTAACAAAAAAAGAGTATGCTTATAAAATTAATTTTAGATCCTCATCTAGTTTTGGTGAAATAATAGCTATATTAAAAGCACTACAAATTGCCAAAGAGGAAAACTGTTCCAGAATAACAATTTTTACGGACAGTCTAATAGCCTTCACACTTCTAACAAAACTCAAAACCATTACATATACGAAATTCACAAACTCATTAACGAGTCTGAATTTTACAACGTTACTGTGATATGGACCCCTAGTCATAAAGGTATTGTTGGAAACGAAAAGGCTGACGAACTAGCCAAAACTGGTAATAACTGTATTGAAATAAGACTCACGATCGAGGAAGCTCTAAGAAGCATCCGAAATCGTTTTCAAAACCACTGGTATGAAGAGTTTCTAAGCTTTTCTGCCAACAAACCAAATTTATTCGCACAAATTTTTCATCATAAAACAAACAAAACATGGTTTAATAAATATAAGGCTAATCCAAAAGATATTAAAATTCTAAATAGGATACTCACTGGTTACACTTATGACTCAGAATATCTATATCGTATTAAAGCTATTAACAACAACCTCTGTACCTCAGTATATCCAGTAAACAAACTTAGCTATTTTTTTCACCAAGTTTGGTCCCCATAAAGGACTAGTGTTGCAAGCAACGCTTTTTCGGCAATTAGGGTGTTGTGCAGCTATTTAATGTGGTGAAAATTATTTAAGCACTGGAGAGATTTATTCACATGGAATTGGAGATAGGGCTGATAGATTTATTTTAAATAAATTGTGAATCTGCGAAAATATCTTTTCAGCAGATGAATATACTTTTTAACCTTTCTTACGAAAATTTACATACCGGCTCGAAAATATGCTAGTAACATTCAAATATCGTCGCTTGGATGGAAAATTGCCGGAAGCGTCATTTTGACAATTTGTGGTTTTTGGATATCTTCTTTTGTTTCCGAGTAATTGACTAAAAGTTTTCGGTTATTTGGTACAAATTGCGTTAGTATTGCTGTCGTACTAAACTAATCAAGATTTTTCAAATAGAGTTATCTGTTCTTCTTTAGTTTCCGACATATTGAGCTTTATCATGAGTTTCATTTTCTAGAACCGGGTCACTTTTTCACTTTTAGTTTGCGTGTATTCACTACAGGTGGATGAAAAAATTGTTGGCGAAATTTGGTTCGGGCGAAACTCACGATTAGGCTGACTAGTAAAAAATATCGTTAATTTATAAAAATTGTTATCACATTTCGGCGTATATCATTGAAACTGACTGCAAATTTTTTGACAAATGCCGTATACGACAAAATTTTATTAAACTCAAATGGTTGACACTAAACTAAAAAAATAAGATAATTTAAGAATTTCATGAACTAGTCTCCGACACTTTGGAGAAAATCTGTAGTCTAATTTCTGAGAAATTGCATTCCAAACTTCAATCGTGAGTTACCGAAAGTAACTTGTGACAATCTTTGATCCAGGCGACGATATAACATTTAGCTAAAATATGCATCTAAATAAATTATAATTGTCATTATTTTCGCAGTTAGAGTATATGCAAGACGAGTAACAGGTATACAAGTATATCTAAACTAGCGCGATGAGCTTGTATATTTATCTCTCTCTAAAGCATTAATTCTATATACGTCAGCACCAACACCCGACAAAGTTATATCTGTATTTAATAATTGCTCTATGACAAAATATTCATGAAATGTATTCGTAGATTTTTATTTACTTTCATTTCATACATTAGTATTGATCTGAATGATTCTTACTAAATACCAGGAATAAATATTTAATAAAAAACTATTTCATTTAAGCTTAACCAACTTTTAGTTGCTCGGAGCTAATTTTGGAACGCTTCATGAAATATTTTCATAGACAGTAAATGCAACTCTGGGTGCATCATTAATGAGCTGAAAAACCAAACTTATAAAAAAATTCCATCTGAACCAATATTCCCAAAAATCATAAAGCAAAACAAAAACCATTTTTCCAATTTATGCACTGTTATTTTTATTATTGCAATACAGTTTCGCAGCTCTTCAAACATTTTCCACATTAAGCTTTTAAAGGTAGTAGTTTCCGACCCCATTTGCTCGTTTTTTTTTCAGTTCTGAATTTGGGCTAGGCTTCATGGGAACTTACTGTGGGTGCAAACAGACCACATTTTGTAAATATGTACATATGTATACACTTCAACTGAATTGTAATATTTAATTTTATTTTAACATGAAAAATGAATTTAATGTGCAATTTTTCAAGTTTACTAGATGTAAGACAATTTTTAATTTTCTTTATATATTGCATGCTTTAGTTTTAATTCTTTTTAAGTTAAGTTGTAAAGGTGAAAATAGGCCTCCTGGGGAACACAGCACCTTAAAAAAAATCGGTAATGCGCCTAAAAGCATACCTCACAAGTGGTGCGGAAAATGCAAGAACAAATATCAATGGAATAGTTTTCGAAATTATGACATGGTTATTGGTATTTTCCATCTCAAAGGCGATGATTAATTTGAACGTTATTTAAGCTGCTTTTACACGGTCGATTTTTTTCGTTTAACCAAAATCTACCCGTGTAAATTGCAATTCAACCGTAAATAGTAAGCGTTTAGGCTAGTCGATATCTTAGTCAATTTTCCAATAGACAGAAATCGACCCGTGTAAAGGCAACTTCAGGAAATTTTTAATTTTCTTTTTTTTTTTTTGCTTGTGCGGCTTTTGAAGATGTGCCAAATTTTTTTGTCGCCTTAAATACAAAACAACAATTTCTATAAGCCATCTTGCAGCAATTTGTTGATCTTATCCTCACGGCTACCGAAATCACCAACCTCAACGTAGTGATTAGCCT